GGGTGAAGCACTTGGAGTTGATGCAGAGCCAAAACTGGAATCACATGCAGCCATCCATTGAGTTTGACCGGCATTTTGTAATAAGAAGATTCAAGCGGCTATCATGGAGTAAAAATACGAGTACCATTGCAATACACTCACCCACCTCCATCTCATCTTGATAATGCATGCAAACTATCTCGACTAAAAGTAACAAATCATTGCCTCAGAGAATGCTGAAGTCCTTGTGAACTTTTCGATGACCTGCGAACACTGGCGTCCCAATAATTTTAGCAGTTGAAATACACCTGGTGTCCCATTACCCATGTCAGTAAATGTTAGGTGATGGCAAAAAATAGTTTTAGTAAGATTTAAATGTCATGCGCAGACAAACTCCTTCCAACAGTCTTGTCAGTCGTTAGTGCCAGAGTCGTGCTTGACAAGGTGGTTTGACATGTCGAAGCGGCAGAAGGCTTGTTGTCACCAGTGTATGGAAGGGTTGCTAGACTCGAGGTTGAACTGATGTCTATGCTGCCAAGAGGGCGGCAGAAGCTCCAGCGACTGAAATGGCCAGGGGTTAAACAAACTTACTTTCCTACCCAAAATCTGAATTTGATCTTTGCAATTTTGGCTAAAGGACTTGGAATTGCATATAAGCATGCTTTCTTTCTCCTCGACTCCGCTCTGCGCCCTTCTATTTTTGCCGGCGAATTAGTGGCAGCGTTGACTGGAATGGTCAAGCTGGCGTTGCCTGTTGACGACCAACCTTGGTAACTGCTTCAGGACAAACCGCAAGCATCAATATTTTGTCCACTCGACTGCAAGAGACGTCTACCCACTGCGGCCGCAATGAACAGGCCAGACAGACGCCAGATTATCAGGTCATTTTCTGATGAATTTATGACTTCTGACTGTAGCCACCACCAATCCTTCAAGAGGAAAGCAATTGCCACAGACCACGTGATTTTTACTGCCCTCATGCAACCACCTGGCGTAAAAGGACGATGGCAGATATGCAAATGATGACGACGGCGTGCATGGTAAACAACCTGCATCTCCGCACAGCCCTTGGAAGATGTGAACATCTCAACTCTTCCATGCATTTGTACTTACAACTGCCCTACGGGCACCTGGGCATGGTTCCCGCGAAACTCTACTCCGATTCCTTGCCTACCTTCCAATACTGGTGAAATAGGATTAACCTCCAACTCTGCTGCTGCCTCCTAATGGATGGTGTTCCACCATTTTAACGCGTGTGCTTTCACTTCAGCAATTGGACAAGCTTTTGTTTAAATTTCCAAATAACGGGATGGGCAGATGCGGAATGGATGAATAGATGGATGCGATTCAAGTTTTGACGCTTTACAAACTCCGTGTAACCCGATTCCAAAGTTGCACTAGCCTCTCCTCAGTCTCATCTGATCAACGAGGCTGTGTGCGGAGATTCGAGGTACCAGAAGGATAGACTATAGAAAGAGAGCTTTACGCGAAAGTGATGAGGGTCAGGCCGATCTTGGATGCGTGAAGTAGTGGTGATGAATAAAAAGAAGATCGTTCCTCAAAATAACCTTTGTTCAAGTATGAGAGGTATCCTCAACATCTCCTGTGATTGTTTTTCTATATCGGCTGTATGCAAGGTCAAGTGAGATGGACCTCTTTGCGAGACAAAGGAGGTGGTTGGACGATGTCCAATCACACTGGAGCGACATCAAAACCATGAGGTCAATTTGTCGTGTACTGCATTGAACCTGGATGGTGCTCCAGAGCAAGAGCACTTCAAGTAGCAATGGCTTTTCAAACGCACGCGTGGCGTCCCAGCTAGACCAAGGCTGCGAAGGCATCAAAAGCCATGCCAACCTGGCTTCGGTATACAATACCTCGGTTCAGGCCAACTTCATCACTGCCAATCGAGATGGTAGCAAGAAATTTTTGTAACTGTAGTGGTGGCCTGTGGCAAACAACAAGGTCTCCTCCAAAGACATGAACTAAAATCTAAACCATAATGCGTCATGACATTGGGATGGTGTGCTCTAACCTCTGACAACCATGATCTGCGCTCCCAGCTCACGGCCTTGGCAGAAATAACCGTGACATGCGAATCCGAGTCCCACTTCAACGTTTCCACCGAGTGCAACGTGAATAGCATCTTTACGGACATTGCTCGCACCGTCGCCGAGTCAGTGCTGCTCATTTGGACGATTGGATAACTTTTTTTCTCCACTCAGGGCATGTAAGGCTATCCAATTTCATGCATCCTCTGCATACCTGCCGACTCCATTACATACTAGACTCCTGTGCAGGATGGGTTGTCCTGTTAATGAAGATGTTTCATGTTTCATGCAAAAAATGACAAAAAGAATGAGAAAGCATTTAAAAATAAACAAGAATAACTGACCAAATAACGCGTGGTACCTTTGTTGCCACGTTGATTTAATAAATGAAGAACTCATTGGTCGTTTCCAAACAGTCCACTCACCACTTGCACTACCCACCACCGCACACTTCACATATCAGACACGCACCACTCCGTCACCAGAGGACACTGGGCTGTTTGCGTGTGTACGTGTGTGTTTCGGATGCAGTGTACTACAGGTGTAATTATTCACCGTGAAGTTGCCACTGGCTAAAGACAAAATGCCAATCACGGATGAGATGAATCTACTCGGCACAACTGCACAGGACTCAAAGATGTGTAAGATTTACCTCTTTGTCGCCGCCTTTTCTCTAGGCTACACCAGGACCAGTGAATCCGCGGACAAGGGTGCTATTGTCATAGGTCTACGCGAAGCAACCAAGAACTTCATGCCACCTTTCAGAATGGCACGGATAATATGGGGTGGAATAAGAGGGAAAAAGGGAGACGGGGAAGAAAGCGGAGGTGCTGCTTCTCCCTTGCACTGTCCCTCATCCTCATCCCCACGTTCTTGGCCATACTCCTGCGCATTCTCCGTGTTCTTCTGATGTTTTTTACCAACCTCCGGGTAATTATTACCTCTTCTCCTTTTAACCCTACAAAATCGTCCGCCAAATGGACAGTTGGCAACAAAAAGCGCGATAGGAGTGGAAAGGGCTAAGGTACGAAACTTCGCACAATAATGGGGTTGAACTAGAATCCACCTCATGTCGCCTTGTGAAGGCCCCTACAGGTTGTAGCAACGGTGGCGGTCTCAAAGCCCAATTTGTTTCGAGCAGCCTAATGCAGTTATATGGCAAATACACCGCACCAACAAGTTAGGTCACCTTACAGTCACTTGACAAGATAACAATTGTAAACATGACAGCGTGCTTCTAAGTTTACGTTTGGCCGTTTGATGATCCGGTCGCCAATTAAACAGGAATGATTTACTGACCTGCGGTGAACGAGTTCGCCTTCCACGTAGCACCGGGTCCACAATTGAGAATCCGATGGTAACCCAGACGGACGTCTGCACAGGCTACAAATAGCCATTGCAGATAGGAAAGACATAAGGTGTCGAAAAAGCTGCGAGACACAGTCGTCTACTTACAGCAGCGCATCGAAACAGACTAACACAAAACGCACTCGCCGCGTGCCATCGTCCCAACAAATGCCACTAAATCTACGAAACTTAATCAAGATTATGCCTGAATTTAAAATGGAAACTCGTTTTACAACTAAACACAAAAGAGAATGAACACTGGAAATGTCGAGAACCGGAACAAACAACAGAGGAACCAACTGAGCAACTACAAACGCGCATCACTTTCACACCTAGCTCTTTCGCGGGTCGATGCCGAAGGTACTACCACACTTTTGTTTCACAAAAACCCATTTAACAAACTCCATTTCCTTACAACACCAATAGCAAACCTATTAGCATGTTCTCGCCCCCTGTGTAAAGAAGAGCAAGACACGTGAAAGATGACAAAATACTCGATATAGAAGACGCTTTGATAACAATAGCATTACACGTAGCCCGAGGGTTGACAGTGACACACACAAACACACACGCAAGAGCAAGAGAACGCGAATGCATGCATGCACGTACGGTGCCCCAGTCAGTAATACCAGAAGACGAGGGGGTAGAGCGGAAGTGGTACGGGCGCTTGGTAGTCATATCCCCCCTTTCCTTTCAACTTTTTTAGGCTAAAAAGGGGAAAAAAGGGAAGGAGAGAAGCCTGAGATTATAAATACCTTAACGGTGATAGGATGTGAGGCGATGTGGTGTAGCGAGACGGGGGGAATGTGTCAATGACAAAGAGTGGCAGCAAAGGTAGGTGGCGCTCTCTTCTTTCTTCGCTGATAATAATGGATACATTCACACACAAACACACAGCTAAAAGATAGGTGGGTGGAGCGTGCAGTCAAATGTGAAAAAATAAAATGCCAGACAAGACGCGCTTTCGATGGCGCGATAAAAGTGACAGACCTGAGAGGAGTAATGCCTGCTCACTAAGTAGAAAAGGAAGGAAAGGGGGAAAGGAGATAAGACAGCAATTACACAAATGGGGGAGGAGAGCGAATTTGCATGAAAAAATATTTATATATGGCAATGTCACTAGAGAAAAACGGCAGTGCATCTACAAGGGGCGCAAGGGAGTGGGGGGGGGGGGGAAGAAGGAACGAATAAGAAGAGTCCAACCATGGGGATGAGAAGCGGGCGCGAAAGACTTGGTTAACTCGGACACGTGCCCGATTGCTACGAGGCCCTCGCTTTATCGTTCTTATACGCTAAGTAGTGGCACGTGGAGAGGAGGAGACGACAAGAGAGACCTGAGACGGGAACACCGACCTCCCCAACCCTCCGAACGGGCGATGGTCATAAGAGGGCTTCCACTGTAGGAACAAAAAATGCAAATTTATCTATCCGTTCGTGCAACACGAGACACTGCCTCGCGGATAAGTGTGCACGTGTTACTATTTACAACATTTGTCGGCGTGACCCACATGCGAAAAAACAATACAGTGACCTCAGCAATAACAACCGTCCATGGGAAAATACAGGCACTCGTCGAACAGCCTCTGACCCTCTAATGCGTTCTTGCAAATACGGACGCGAATCCACTCATCGGACATCAAAGATGGTTGCCTTCCTTACGCAGGCCTCTCTTCAGCGGTCCACGATTCAATCGCCTGCGATATCCTTCAATCCTCTTTGTAAAGCCAAAATCAGAGTTGCACGTCTCCTCGGTAGCCCGAAGAATGATTTTAAAATATGCTGCAGTACTTCTCTCCCTCACAAGTAGGAAAGGTTGACACCTATGTAGGCCAGAAAACGAAGTCGTAGCTACTCAAGCCATGTCAACAAATGGTAACTAAACAAACCACAACTTCTAGGGCAAGACCAGCAAGAAGAAAACAGGTGATTCCATTATCCTCGCCAAAGGGACTAAACAATCGGCCAAAACCGGATACCTATCAACTCTTCCCACGCCGATAAATAACAACCCGATGCAGTTGACTGGAAAATGAAACCAGGACGAGTCTATGGGGAACTGCTGCAAGTTTGCGAATTTTATTAAACGGAACATTGCTACCTCCGCGTATAGGATACGCTCGCTGAAGCACAACCAGCCCCCCGACCTCAGGATTACACAACGCAGATAGCAAACACAACGTAATGGTACACAGGCCTCATAAGCGTTGGATTCGGAAGTCTAGCCATTCGAATACAGCTGCAAGGATGGATAAACAGGATAAATTGGGAGGGACCCTGAGGTCGACGCTAAAAACAAGACGCGGCCAATGTTGCAGAATAATGCTCATTAAAATTGTGTAGGACCCCACAGTGATGAATTGCGGTCGCCAGGCTCTCGATCACTTTAGGGGATTATGAAAATATACTGGGAAGTCTCGAGCCACTGGAGAAGAACTAGAACGCCAAACTGTTGCCTAGACGCTCACATTCGAGCACATCATTGACAATATCGGCTGTGAGTTGAATATCCTCATTCACTTTGTTGCTACTGTCAGTAGTGTCGTTGGCAGCGGTGATGGCGCTTGTACTGGCAATGCTGTTGCAGTCGCAGACCGGCGCATATTGCTGCTCTTCAAACAGCATTGAGGATTGGCGCTCAGCGAACCGCTGCTGCGATGGTGATGGTGGTTGTGTTGGTAACGGCGCTTGTTGTTGGGACAGTTCGTAGCTCCCGTAGGTCGAGTCATCCAGGAAGGGTAAATCCATCTCAGAGCTCACTTGCTCAAAAGTCTGATGATAGTGAGGTGGAGAAGGAGGATGCGGCGGAGGTGGGCCATAGAAGTACTCATTCCCACCATTCCCGATACCGCTGTTTAGACCATCTGAAGGATGCGGACGCTTCTGACCAATCACCGCTGGCGCCGCCGAGCCGGTAGAGTGCGGCGCGATGGAGGCGGAAAGGGGTGGGGGAGGTGGCGGTGAGGAGCCGGTTGCCATGATATCCACGTTCTCGGCTTGACAACGACTTGTCACTTTCTCACGCAGACTCGCCTTTACCTGACTGTAAGTTTGAAGGTAAGAAAAGTGAGACACAGATGTTTGAGAAGTAAAAATAGTTATTGTAGTCCCTTAGCCAGCGCTCCAGTCTACTTACCATCCCAGATTGTGACAAAGCCATGGCTTATGGCGCATCCTCAGGGAGATCATCCTATGCAACCTGTACCACTTTGACCCCCCTCACGATGACTGGACACTACTAAGTGTTAGCACGGTCTCTGCTATGGATGGCTAAACCCACGTTGAGTCAGTAAAAGACCCAAACGTCTATTTCTCCAATAGTGAAGCCAATAAGGTGGCTAGACGGTCCAAAGGGAATGACCTACAATAATGACATTGAAAAACTGAATTATAACTACTCAAAATCAAGAACAACCTAGAGTAGACGGTCTGACAGTATTGAAATACCAACAGAATGGAGGCGAGTAACGCAACTAGAAGAATTCATTGAAGGAAATTAGTTTTCGAGCAAAATTTTCTACAAGTGGTGATTGACTTATGAAATGCGCTCGTTGTAGAAAGTTGTCCTTAAAAAATGGATATCAAAATAATGCACAATCAGCTGAAATCGATGAGATACACCAGTATCACTAAATTAAAAGACTTTTTGCGCAACGTGTAATCATCATTTATGTCTTGAGAGTGGAAACCTATACACCCGAACACCGGAATAATTTGAGCGACGCGGAAGAGTGATCGCAAAGAGAGCGTGGGAGGAGACACCCAAGACAAGACGTCGACCACCCAACCATGTAGGCTTTGCAAACTTCAACAAAACGGACTCCACGACGGAGGCATAAAGTTCCAGCTATTAGTCTTCCAACCCCTCAGTTCTTTGGTTAACAAGGTTACTTGTGAACACTCCTGTACATTGTGACGTATTCAAGGATCTTCCAAACAACTTACGAGTGGGGCAGTGGCTGGCTCTGCTGAAGTGCCAGAGACAGCGGCGATGGGTAGTTAGGAGGTCGTGATGGCGGTGGCGGCGGCTGCTGCATCAGCATCTGGTGCTGCTGTTGAAAGCTGAACTGTGGGTCGAAGTAAGCCATACTAGGTGAACTTGCGTAAGCCTCAGAGCCACAAAGGACCTGTGGCGACGGCGGCTGCGGCACCGATGATCTCTGTTGGTGGTAGAGCAACTGTTGCTGTTGCTGATGGTGAGGGTGGGATTGGGCGTGGTAGTACGATTGTTGATTTTGCCGTTGTAATTGCTGTTGTTGTTGATGGTGTTGGTATTGATGAGGGTGATGGGAATGGGGATGTTGTTGAAGATTGTGGTGGTGGCTTAAAAACTTGGGCTGAATAGAGGGCAGGTGAGAGGAGTAAGGTGGTGGGGGTCCAAGTGCGGGGTTCTCGTACTGCGGGGAAGTTCCTGTGAGGAGACCCTGAGATGAAGATGCAGTCTGCTGGTGATCCTGGTACTCATAATTCACGGGCGCCAAATGCCCACCCGAATATTCGTAAACCGGCTGAACTTGGGACATCTAGAAGTGAAAGACAAGCGGAAGATGAGAAGTAAACATAGGACGAATGGGCATAGGACGCTGAAACGGACACTTTCAATAAATACAAATCAACTACGCATCAATGACATTAAACACTGACCGAGGGTTTTTAAGACTGTCGGCCTAATGACAGGAGATACATAACACTACATCTTTTGGCAAGAGTAAACAGTTTTGCGTAAGGTAGGATTTCTGTAAAATAGGCCAATTTAATGAGCGCAACTGCTTGTACGATTTGACACCCCAAAGCTCAAAAATGACTGACCTGTGGTTGTTGTTGGTGATCAGGCGAGTAGAGACTGGGGACAGGGAAGTGATGGTGGTAGCCCGTGGGTGAAACACGCACATTGGGTGCGATTTCCTTCATGCGCCGAGAGAAGTCCTCCAATGGCGTTCGTTGGCTTACTAGAGACTGCGCCTGTGCTGCTGGTGCAACAGGATTTGTCGTCAGCAGTGCAGCATCAAGCTCACAGAAGCCCTCCCCTCCCATTGCCTGAATGTGGCAGCAGGAAGCGCCAGAGGAAGTTGAGAGAACATCACCTCCGCTGCTGATGAAGCCACAGTTCAGCGGGGTTTGCTGTTGCTGCCGTCGCTGCTGATGATGGTGGCTTAGTGTGGGCTCTAGTAGGCTGTGACTCCCTGATCCGTAGGTCGTAACCTGACCGACGTTTTGTTGGAACAGAAGACGCTTAAAAGAATGGAATAAAAGCACGTGATTACCTAATTCAATTGTTCAAGTATCTACAAAATAAACTACACGAAGCCACAAAATAGCCGAATTATTCCAGGTTATGAAAAGTAGTAAAAGGGGCGTGCGAACCTGTCGTTCCAAGAGGTGACGTGAACTGGGACGTTGTCGGCGTTGGTGTTCCGCTTCCTCAGCTATCTGCGCTGCAGCCGCTGCGGCAGCCCGACGATTTCTCTCAATGTTTATGGCTATAGAGGAAGGCAAGAGATTGACGTCAACGGTACCACTTTCAACGGTAGTACGCAGTACTGCATCAAAGAGCCAACAAAGACCTTCACTAAACAGAAATACGATATTTCTAATCAGTAATAATTCTTCAAAGGTGTGAATAACAAGCGCAATTATGACGCAATGGAGCCTTAAAACATGGGTTTGTGCCATAAGCCTCCACCATTCCGAAAAGCGGAAAAGTTGGGTAGAACAATCATGACGCGATTCATGTCAATTCACAGGGAACCAGGCCTCCTTTCGCGAGAAAGTGTGCTTCGCCTTTTAAAATTACCTTTATTACCGCTCTCCCACTCATTAAATTTACCTAATTAAACAGGAGTCAGGATGCGAGTAGATTCCAGCACCGACTTCCTCCCTTGTTGGGAAATGGTAGAGGCGATGCCTATTAAACCAACAAGTCTTGCCTAGTTACCACGTATAAAATAAAAACTAACCACAAAAATTTATGAATCCATCAACTGAGTGTGATATACAAGTGCTATTAAGTGTTTCAAAGACAATAAAGGAACAGGTTATACCCCGTGAATTATGGGCAATGACTACGAGCCTGCTAATTGCGTCTAAAATTCACTCCTGCCGCAGCGTTAATCACTGGAATGTAAACAATAAAACAGACCCACTGTTTGCCAATGGAGACAGAAGGGGAAATTGAAGTATTTTGCATAGGTATGAAAGGGATAAAGGACTTCCAATCTTTGGTATTAGCATATTTTGCTACTAGGGTGGAAATTACGAGCAGAATGTCACGGTTGCATCGAGTTAGTAAATGATGGAACAAGAGCAGAGGAGCATACGACTATTCCAACCGCAGAAAGACGAACATTAAACCATCTGCAAAAGTATTTCCGTGATTGGGTGGGCAAACGGATAGCCGTAGAAAATTTTGAAAGAAAAGTGAAATGTCCCTGGCACCTCAATGAAAGAAGAGGTACAGTAGGCATTAAGGCTTTTGTGAGACCCCTGGCCATTGCTCAAACACAGGAGGATGAGGTATCAGTCACATTAGAATGTAACAGGACTTAGAGCCCTTCCCCCGGCTCCGATGCTCTCATTGAAAAGAGGTGATTAAACAGGAAAGGAATCACATAAAAGTAGTCGAGTGATAACAAAAGACAAAACGGAGAGGCATATGTGAATAAAACAGAAGGGGTGGAAAGGGGGAACGCCAACCTTTATCCTCCTTAGGTGTCTTCGACCCAAAATGCTCAATGCGATACCTGAATCGCGTGACAGACAAAGACGATTGCACGATCAAGAAGTGGCAGGCCAAGGAGCATACCGGTGTTTATGTGGGGGAGAATCACAAATATTAGTGATGATAATGTTACTGCTGAGCGAGTAAGCTGAAGTATACACACAAACACATGCACACATACACAGGTCTATACAAATATGTATACACGGGTATTTGAATTCATCCAAATACACAGAACCAATGCCTAGCGCATTAATTTTCATTTGCGCATGCATACGGGTGTGCGCACGTGTGCACATGGATAAATGATGGCGCGAGTGACAAGAATTTATCAACGACTGTATGCTAGCCATCTAGTTGCTGATCACACGTAAATGGCATTACTGTGCGCCAGGGTGTGATTGGCCTCACAATTGTTACCAAGGCCCACGATCGAAATCCCCACCAAGTACTAACGGCAAAAGCTTGCACACACAAGCTGTCATGATAGATAAATACTACCACGGAGGACGCATTACAATTAAACACTTAAGACAAACAAACTTACGAGACGAGCTGCTTGCATCCATCGCGTTAACTGCAGAGGGCGGAGCAGATGAGCTAGATCCCCTGCAACAGCTCCCCCCGTTGGCACCGCTGCCAACAACGACACATTCGCCACTTGATCCTTTCGCTACCACTGACGTTGCTGTTGGAGATGTCACCGACTGCGGTGGAGGTACCGAGGCTACACCGACTTGAGATGGCGCAGGAACGGATAGGGGTTGTCGCAGGGCCATTGGGCAGGAGTCGTAGCGCGTACGCCTCACCTCACCTCCGCTACCACCGCTACTGACAACAAGGACGTCAGAAGGAAGTTCAAAGAAGGAAGGGGGAGGGGGTGGAGGTGCAACAGGGGCATCCTCCTGCGCTGTGGCATCTACTTCCGCCGTCACTGTCTCCCAGCGTGGATCGGGGCCTTGTAGAAGGCGGCAGAGTGAGGAGTTGGCCAGTGCAGCATCCTCATCCTCACTGGTGTCGCGGATGTTGGTTTTACGAGCAATACCACCACTGCTACCACCACTGGGGTTACTTTGGCGTTGAGGGTTGCTAATACTGTTGTTATTGGGGACTTCGTGTAAAAGGAAAAGAGAATCCTTGGGTTGTGGCGCTAATAGGGGTAATTTGGAAGAAGGAGGACCTTCCGTCTTTGGTGATAAGCCATCTTCATCTACAATTAATCCGAAGAAAAAAGGTCGGACACTAAAATAAGCGTCATTTTAAGCAAACTCAGGCCCCATAAACTTCTTGCTATACAAAAGTTCCAATATTCGTTGATCTTTGAGAATCTGTGAGAAGTTAGCCCAGATGATGGTACTCCCGATTCTCTTTGATCGACAGTTTTGTCCTTCAAAGCGGTTCTATGACGCACCTTGGCCGCTAAGCCAGAGGCATTGTAAACCCGTATAAAAAAAAACATTAAAACTCGAGGAGAAGCAAAATGTAGCCTTAAAATTCCCCCCTCTTTCTAAGTTTAACAGTTTCAATGGGGAGTATGGCATGTCCGAACCATTCAAATCTTGTAAACTATAGCAAAAAAAAACAAAGTTAGCGACAAGTAAGAGACCATAATGCCAATCAGACTTCCCAAAAAACAACAGACTCCCAGGTGTGAAATTCAGCACCATCAACAGGTTCCTACCGTTTAAACGAGAGTTTCATTAGTCCTAGATAAGCGTTCTTATGTACTTTTGTTCCCATTTTACTAATTATCAACCAAAAAATCTGCACAACATGTACGTCTACTCAAAGAGCTACAAACACACACGACCACACGCCTTTGTCGGGTGCGTGACACTTACAACTTGGCGGCAGATGGGTGGCGCTTTTTACCCCACTGGATGGTTGCGGATCAATAATGATGGAGAGGGGGCAATCAAGGGGTCTTGAAGGCGCAGTTTTAGGCATCCCCACAGTAGCAGCAGCAGAAGCAGCCAGTCGACTAGCTCGGGCGGCACAGGCCGTCGGTAATATAGGACTGGATAGAGGCTCTGAAGCCGCTGCGGCCGTCACCGTGGTGGTCGTCGGTGCGGTGGTGACAGCAGTAGTTATAGCGGAGTTGACAGACGTCACCGAGGCTGGTGGACATCCGTGTCTTAGTAGATGAGCCAGAGATGAGCAGGAGGAAGACGAGTTCGGGCTCTAGAAACAAAGCAGTAAAACCAGTGCAACAATTGTATGGAGAAAAAATTACATCTTAGATGTCAGGAAATAAACCCACCATAAGCAACTGAGGTGTAGAATTCAGCGCTCCTGCTCGATTACCAGTTGTGGGACTATTACTACTGCTACTACCACTGACGGTTGAGGTAACCATAGGCCATTCCTCACCGTCAAAACTGAAGCTACTGCTGACCTTGGGAGCCTGGCAGCAGGTGGACGAGGGTCCGCTGCTGGAGAGGACCTGGCGACATTCAGAAACACCACCACCAGTGGTCACCAATGTCGCCTCAGAGGCGTTTCGATGGCGTACAAGGTTGGAGATTGTGGCTGTAGTGATGGTGGTAGCCACCGAAGAGCCGGAAATGCGTCTCAGTCGAGAGTCTGGAGCAACGTAGCCACCCATCAAAAGGGATTCCAGAACACCTGCAGTGGAGTGAACCTCCTGCGAGGAGTTGGATGAAGATGAAGAAGAGGAAGCAGTAGTGTGCTTCCTCAAGGACGAAGCCGGTTCCACGGACAACGGCAACGATTTTGAGGATGGTGGCAGTGATGGCGCAGCTTGCTGAGATCCACGAGTCACTGCCATCCATGGACTACTTCCGGCCATGGAATCAAAGGAGGCCGGTGTTGTTGTCCCCGAGGTCTGTGCTGATGGAGTCGGGGCCATCACAACGGTACGCGGTTTTGGCTGAAGAAAAATAAAACAGATCAAATAAAGGACTTATGAGAAAGGCTAGATACACTGTAAATGAAATTCCGAAAGCTATGCCTATAAAGGACACTGCGTAATGGTGGCTAAACATTTAGGTGGAAAGCTGCAATTTATTTCTTCGAAATTGGAAATCCAGTGCACTAATGAAACATTTTGAATGTAAACATAGGAGCAAGAATGACTGGGTCCTTTTTTATACCGTAAATGGAAAATGTGACAAAGCAATAAAGAGGCGGATTCACCACATTTTGCCGGATAGCTGATGACTATTGCAAGGCAAGAGTAACATGTTTTCTTTTTTCACTGCGTCTATTCCTCACGCACGCAAGCAGCATTCAGACGGAGTTGGCTAGCGAAAAATTACAACTTCGTCAAGTCTGCAACCAGAGCATTTACCTGTACCAATAAATGGGTCTATTTATATACACAAACACTAGCGATAAGATCTTTACAAAACAAAGGGTGGATCTATGCTCTGGCTAAATAGGGTCCATCAAATTGTTATTTTTGAGCAGAAGTACGAAAGATTCTTGGTTTGTAGATGAAGTGAGAAAGATAAGTCCGCATGCAGCCAGGTTGAGGTACAGTTGCAAAAGCTACAGCCTAGGCCATGGTTTGACATTAAACAGATTGTGAATAATAAATGCAACTTCAATTCCCTTCTGAAACCTCGGTGGTGAACGTATTAATACCTGCTTAGTAATTTAGAGGAGAATAACAAAGAAAAAAGTATTTGCGATTGTCAACAATTTGAAAGCTAACCGACCCGGTAATGCATCCCACCGATTACCCATCTACGCTTCAAAGCAATGGTGACAGGACCACTATGACAGTAAGTTAGGTCTGGGTAATTAGATTACCAGAACGCAAAAGTCGTGTTGTCAATCGTCAGGGTGTTTGCTGAGTCGTTACCTCCAAAAAGCAGAAGAAAACGTCGCCCAGAAGGATCAAGACATCTGTTTTAGCACGTAGAACCGGGTTTAAGAGCGATTAAAATCCATTCCTGCAGAAGGGTGAATTAAACTTGATTCAAAGGTGGAAAAGAAAAATGTGAGCAGTTGTCAAGGCAACTGGCTAAAAGGGCTGATTGCGAATACGATTGTTGAAATACATTGATGAAGTAGATGGATGTGTGGCAGTTCACTAGTGACCTGCATAATTGCCTTGTTCCGTCTTGTCATAAAATGTCCGTTAAACCCGTTAATTGTGATTCTCGCTTGGCTGTCCACAAAACGCGTTTAACCCGGACGCAAAGTTGCATAAGCTTCCTGTCACACCTGCTATATAACAAATGGAAAGGGCATGACAGCACAACAACTCACCACTTGTC